AAAAAATAGTTCGCTATTTTGCGAGAAAAATCATTACTTTTTAAAATTATTTTTCCAAAAATAATTATCCGATTGAAAAAATCGTACGCTTAACTAAAGACAATTTTGTTGTGAACATTCTGTCCAAAAATCAAGTCATTCGGATAAAAATTGGCCGAAATATGCGAGCGCCCAGCTACGAAAACGTGGTTAAAGAAAAAAAACGCGTTTAAAGTTTTATGCGGCCGGGCGTATATATCTGAATACGTGCTATTTTATTACATAACTATAGTTCTATTGTGAATTTCAACAAAATATTTTAGGGACATATTTTTTAAGACCTCGAACATTACAAAAATGCAAAAAAAAATTTTTTTTTAACTTGTCACAGTGGTATTCCCTCTTAATATAGTTTTTAATTTAAAATAAAATCTGTTTAAAATTTTTAATATATTTCTTTAATTATTTTAGTATGTATTAATAATACATAATTAATATGTATTATATTGTATTTGGAGCGTCATAAGCGCTATAAAATTATATATACTCATACACAATTCTAAAATCGAAGGTTCGAGAGAAACGTCGGAGATATTTATTTCGTACATTAATACATACATGCACTCACACATACAAAAGAAACCCTTTGTTCACGACATCTAATACATCAACACCCTGTCCGTGTATTTTTTCGCGCCTCGTCGTCGCCAACGCTACGTGGCCGATCTTATGTGGTTGATCACGGACCAATTAGAAAAGGGTGATTTGACTATATTCGTGCCTCGTGGGCCAGCCGCCAGCGATGAAACAAGGATTCTTGTGCGAGTCACAGATCACACAGGATCTGGTGTGAGCCACGGACTGAGGTGGACGGACTCTGTGGCGATCAGTACTCTGCTTACAATTAGTGTTGCATCATCTTTTGTCGCACCAAATATTGCATATTGCATATTGCAATAACTTAGTTAAGATACAGGTTAGTCCATAATAAAATTAATTGAGTGCAAAGTTAAGTATAACGTTTCTGATTTTATTGCTAATTTTAACATGTAAAAAATAAATAGTTTATCCCGGCCGACCGCGTCACTTTGAGTTCCCTTGCCCAATCCTCCCAGAATTTTAATTTTTCATACTGTACGTGTAGGTACGTTATTTTAACAAAAAAAATTTTTTTTTATTTTTACATTATATTATTATTTTATTTTATTATTTTTATGGTTTAATTTGTGCATCACGTACTCTCTTTTGCATATCTTTTATTTTATTAATTACAGTTACAATTATATACAATTAATTTATATACAATTAATTTATAAATTTTAAAAACACATCAAGATTCAAACTTAAGATCTTTAGAACTACAGTCTGGTACACTAACACTGAGCTAATCGCTGCATTTACAATATCATTATAACAATCTATATATATATATAAAGTCACCCGCAAAAAAACCGGGCCACTAAATTTTAGTTCAGATTTTTAACATCTTTCAATAACAAAAATGGTCATTTTTGCTTCAATGTTGAATAACTCGGTGAAAAAAATCGCAAAATGCTCAACGAATGCGCAAATTAAAGATAAAGATTCACGCTTTCGAATGCTGTAAACCGCATTTATGTGCGATTTTTAATTCACGTCGAGGAATCTTGCAAAATATAATTACATACAGTCACCAAACTAATTGACCGGACAATGCGTTAATATATCGATAATTTCTAAAAATTCAAGATAGAGTAACTTTGTCAAAAATTATCGTAACATAATGATCGAAAAAGCATTTTACA